TTTTTGTCTTTTTGAGACAGGGTCTCGCTATGCAGTTTAGGCTGGTCTTGAGCTCACTTTGTTAGCCCAGGCTGTTCTCAAACTTGCAAAGATCCTCCTGCCTCAGCCTCCTGAGTGCTGGGATAACAGGCATGCCCCACCATGCCCAGCTTTTTTTTTTTTTATGAATCAAAATGTTACAAGCTCATTCTATCTGTTTGTTATGATTAAGACTTTTTGATTCCTGTTTTTTTTTTTTTCTTACCCTTCTTTCATTTTTGTGCTACTGGGGATTGAACTCAGGACCCTGAACCTACTAAGCATCCATTCTATAGTAGAGCTAGCCCGCAGGCCCTCAACGTGTTGAAGAAAGCTGTCTAGGGCGACGTCATCAGTACATTCTTCTATTTGTTTTTCCTGGAGAAGCTTTATAAAAGTTTTAGCTTTCACATTTAGGTCTACAATCCATCTTCAATTCATTCTGTATACAATGTGAAGTAAGAGTTGTAACTTTTTTGCCATATGAACAGCCAGGGTATTTCAGCACTATTTATTTAAAAAACTTTCTTTTTGCTATTGAACTACTTTGCTTATACCTTGGTAGAAAATCAACTGACCCCATAAGTGTGATCAGTTCTGGATTCTTGAATCTGTTATTGATCTACATGTCTTTTTTTTTAAACACGATCTCGCTCTGTAATTCAAACTGGGCTTGAACTCAAATTTGTAGCTCAGGTTGGCCTCAAACTCTTGGCAATCCTGCCTCAGCCTCCCAAGTGCTGGAATTACAGGCGAGCAGCACCACACCCAGTTTTATGTCTGTCCTTATGACATTGTCTCTCACAGTCTTGATTACTCCAATGTGCAAGCCTTGAAATCAGATAGTGTAAGGTCTCTGACTTGAGTCATTTTTTTTCAAAATCATTTTGATTACTTTAGGTCCTTTGTATTTCCACATAAATTCAGTTTATTAATTTCTACCCCAACCAGATATGGTGGTGCACATCTGTAATCCCAGCACTCTGAGAGACTGAGGCAGAAAGATTGAAAGTTCAAACTCAGCCTATGCAATTTAGAGAGACCCTGTCTCTAAATAAATAAATAAATAAATAACTGGAGATATAGCTCAGTGCAAAGGACCTGTGGTACTGGGGACTAAACCCAGGGCTTTTACACTGAAGTACATCTCTAGCTCTTTTTTTCTTTGTTTAATTTTGAGGCAGGATCCTAACAAATTGCTAAATTCTCCAGGCTGAGCTCAAACTTGCATTCCTTTTGCCTCAGTCTCCCAGAAAGCTGGGATTACAATTACAGGTGTGTACCACCATACCAGGCTTTTACTGGTTGTTTTTGTTTTTCTTGCTTTTATTTTTTTAGTTTTTGTGACATGAGGTCTTGCTGTGTAGTTCAGGCTGATTTTAAACTCACTATGTGGCTTGGGCTGGCCTGGAACTTGCGACGATCCTCCTGCCTCAGCCTCATGAGTGTTGGGATTACATGTAGTCATCATCACTCCTGGCTCTAAAAAAATCTTCTTTAAAATGTTTATTTTAGCTGGGGATATAGCTCAGTGGCACAGCGCCTTGCTTGGCAAGCACAAGGTCCTGAGTTCAATTCCCAGTACCAAAATAAATAAATAAATAAAGTAAAATGTATATTTTAGAGATTCATTTTATAATTCTTGTGGGTATTTTTTTCTTTTTCTGGTGCTAGAGATTGAACCCAGAGCCTTATTCATGCCAGGTAAGTGCTCTACCCTGGAGCAACACCCTAGCCCACACTTATTAATTTCATAAATTGTTAAAATACCTTGCAAACTTAGCAATTTGCAACTTATTAATTCAATAGTTTTAGATTCTTGTGGCTTTCCTACATATATAATTCTATAATCTAAAATAATGACAGTTTCCAGCCTTTATACCTTTATTTCCTTTTATTGCCTTAGTACCCTTACGAGGACATCCAGTACAATGCAGCTGTGATGATAGAGTGATAAGGGAAATCCTTGCCTGACTCCTGATCTTATCTTTTTTTTTTTTTTTTGGTCTTTTTCAGACAGCGTCTCACTATGCAGTTCAGGCTGGCCTCAAACTCATGGTCCTCTTGCTTCAGCTTCCTGAGATTATAGGTATGTGCTACCATGCCTGGCCTTGTTTGTTTGTTTTTGAGGCAGGGTCTCACTGCGTAGTTCAGGCTGGCCTTTAACTAACTCAAGGTTAACCTCCTGCTTTAGTCTCCCAAGTGCTGGGAATACAGGTTGCGCCACCACACCTAATTTTTTAATTTTTTTTTTCTTTGTGGTATTGATGGTTGAACCCAGGGGCACAATGATTTCAAATATTTTGGTTAAACCCAGGAGTGCTCTACACTGAATTTAGACCTTATCTTTTTCTATTTTTTATTTTGAGATAGGATCTTGCTAAATTGCCCAGCTGGGGTTTAAACTTGCGCTTCTCTGGCATTACTGGCCCACACCATCACACCTGGCTGTTAATACTTTCTTTGTAGCCCAACATATAACAAAACTGGGTAAATGTTTTGTGTACAATTAAAAAAATGTATTTCTGCAGTTGCTGGGTATAGATAAGTCAATTAGATCAAGTGAATTAGTCATGTCCTTCAAATCTTATTGATTAAAAGTAAAGTTTTTTGTACTAGGGACAGAACCCAGGGACACTAACACTGAGCTATTTCCTCAGTCTCTTTAAGGCAAATAAAACAGCATGATTATGGAAGGCTGAAGCAGGAGGACCGTTGCAAGTTCAACACCAGCATGGGCTTCATAGTGAGTTCAAGGCAGCCTGAACTACATAGCAAAATCCTGTCTCAAAAAACAAAACAAACAAACAAACAAAAAACCATTATGGTGTGTTAGAGGTGAGGGAGAGTATTTAGAGGTGGATTAATGGCAATATGTCTTTTACTATAATAATTGTTTTTGAGATAGCATCTCACTACCAGCCCAGGCTAGCCTGGAACTCACAGTGATCCTCCTGCTGCAGCCTTCTGAGTACTAGGATTACAGGCATGGGCCACCACATCCAACTGATTGCGTTATCTATTTTAACCATGAGTATGAATGAACACAGATAATACAATTGAAGCAGCAGAGGGTGATGGCCCATGCCTGGAATTCCAGCACTTGAGAGGCTGAAGTGGGAGGATCACCATGAGCTTGAGGCCAGCGTGGACTACATAGTGAGTTCAAGGCCAGCCTGGGCTTCATAGCCAGATGCTATCTCAAAAAACAAAAATGACAAAACAAATTGAAGTAAGACACATGGTGTTCTATGCTCTATGACTCTCAGTCCCTTGTGCCCCTCCAAACTCCTTTTTGAACCTCCTCCATTCTTGGCTTCTCAGACAGGCCCAGGGCAGGTTTTCCAGCCCCTCCCCACACCCCCCCAGTGCAGTCTGGCTCACTGGTGCAGCACACTCTGGCTTCTTCCTGATGTCTCAGTATCTCCGCTCTGACCTACACTTTTCTGAAGCTGCTTGAGGGAGATGGAATCTCCAGGATAAACCATAGTTGCTCCATCTGATCCTCAGCCCCCAAAGTGTGTACCTCTCTTTGGCACAGTGTAATGTTCAATCACTATTTGTTGAATGAAGTTAAAAAAAAAAAAAGAAGATGAATGAATGAATGACTTAATGACTATATGAATATGGATACACCAGTTGTTGTGGCTTCTGTCTAGATGTCCACCCCAGAGTCTCATGTGTTAACAGCTGGGACTTTTTCAGAGGTGGCTGAATCTAGCGTGTGTGATGCTGGAATTGATTCACGGTGCAATGCTAGAATCAAGGGCACTAGGATTAAGGGTATGAGTGCTGCCTGCCCTAAGAAGCCCGGATAAGACATAAGGGACAGAAAGAGCTGTGTTTGTCCCGTGCTTGCTTTGCTGTCTTCTGTCAGCTATGAACTGTTTCTCTCCAGTGCCTCTGTGATGATGCCACCCAGCCTTGGAGCCAGCCGATGATGGACTGAAACCTCCACATACTGTGAGCTAAATAAACCTTTCCTCCTTTAACTTTGGGGTTTGGTATTTTGTCCCAGCAACGAGAAAAGTAAGATACCAGTTAAGTCCTAAGTGCTGAACAGGATCACCCCACCTTGGGAAAAGAGGGGAGGCCAGACTCTTTTTTTTTTTTTTTTTTTTTTTTTTGTGGTACCAGGGATCGAACTCATGACCTCATGCTTGCTAGACAGGCACCGTGCCACTGAGCTATATCCCCGGCCCTGCCAGACCCTTCTCAATCCCTAACATCCTGCCTTCCTCTTCCTCCACATTAAATCAGTGAGTCGGTGCTGGGAAGAGGCGCGACGGTGACGGCTCCCTTTCCCTCTGCCTCTCTTGGCATCCTCACCAGTCTGCAGGTAGGTGCCACGGAGCTGTCCCTTCCTTCCCTCTTCGTCTCTTTCCCGACCCGACAATCAGTGGCTATTCTGAAGCGAGATGGAGGTTGGAAGGGGTTTGCATCCCCTTCCTCGCTTTACCGTCTCTCCTCCCCAGTCTCTTGGTGCTCCCCCATCACGCTTCTGGGATACTGCATACAAGGCTACCCGCGTGTGGCCACTACCCACACGCTCTTTATCAACAGATGGCTACTCTCGCCCCCTCCCTGCTAGGGAGTCACCAGAAGTCAGGAGTAGTTCCCACCCAGGCCTATGCAGCTGCGCCTTCTGATTGGCTACTACGTCTACCCTGAGCAACGCTATTGGCTGGAACGCCCATAGTTCCGTGTCCGGGTCCAACTTTTAAAGAAGAGCTCAACTAAAGCTAGCGGGAGGATACGTGAGGATGTGGGAGCTGTTGGTCCGGGTTTTAGGGTCATCAGGTCATGTGTAGTGCCTCGCCGGACCTCTCCCTGCGGGTGGGTCCACGGACGTAGACCCGCCTCCCAACTGCCCCGCGCGGCCGGCCCGCGCGTGCGCACTAAGCCCGCCTCCCACCCTCCGAGCGGTGGGCGGGGTGGCGACCAGCAGGGGGAGGTCGAGGGTGGGTGGGAGGGGGGTGGCGGGGTTGGGGGAATGGGGAGCAGGAATGGGGTTGTCGGGTTGGGGGCGAGGGCAGGCGGCAATTTATTTGGAGACAGGAATTCCGTTGAAGTTTCCAGTCTGGGCTGCGCGGGAGCTCCGGGGTAAGCCGTTTAGGGGGCCAAAGGGGCGCAGCAAGGCCCGCGGCCAGGGCTCCCCGGGCCGCTCCTCCGCCCGCAGGCGTTGGCCGCCAGAGCCGCCTTGCAAGGGGACACAGGTGCCGCGAGAGAAGGAGAAACAGTGGGTGCCCTGGAATGGGCTCATTGTGATTGGGAAGAGGATAGAGCTCCTGGGAAGAAACACGCTAAAGCCTAGAATGGGGGACCCGAAGTTTGAGTCTGAGTACTGGCGGCCAGAGGGCTTGGGAAAGATGCTGTTGAAAGAGAAATTAGAAGTGAGTCAGGAGGAGGTGCACTTGAGCCCGCACAGCGTAGCAAGTCCATCACAGGCTCTCGCAGACCTGGGGAGAGATGGTCCAGAGGAGGCTGAGGAAAAGCAAGAGGCCGAAGGGAAAACTGAGGCTGAATCTAGTGCAGTGATGATCGCAGAGTCTAGGAGCGCGTCTGTGTCTGAAGAGAGGCCAGAGATGATGGAGGCTGGGAGGGGGTCAGCGTCCGAAGAGAGGTTGGGGCCCACGGTCTGGAAAGAGAAGTCAGAACTTAGTCAGGAAGAAACAGATGAGAAGGAACCGCACGGTGTAGCAAGTGCGTTACAGGCTTCTGCAGACACGGGGAAAGACGGGCCGGTGGAGACTGGGGAAATGCAAGAAGAAGTCGGGGAGGAGACTGGGGCTGAAGCAGGCACAGAGGTGATAGAAGAACCTAGGAGGGAATCTGTGTCTGAAGAGAAGTCGGAAGTGACAGTAGAGTCCAGGAGAGGGTCTGCATCTGAAGAGAGGTTGGAGGTGACAGCGGGGTCCAGGAGGGGGTCTTTGTCTGAAGAGAAGTCAGAGGAGGCAGTGGAGTCCAGGAGGGGATCTTTGTCTGAAGAGAAGTCAGATGAGGCAGCAGAGTCCAGGAGGGGGTCTGCATCTGTAGAGAGGTTGGGTTCTACAGAGGACAAGGTGGGGACCAGTGGAGAGGATGTGAGATCCAGAGAGGATCAACTGGGACAGGATGAGGAGTTGAGGTGGAGTGGAGAGAGTCTGGAGTCCAGAAGAGAGAAGCGGAGGCCCGCTGGAGAGAAGCGGCCTGTTAGAGAGAGGCGTAGGTCCATTGTAGAGAAGCCCATGTTCAGGGCAGAGAGGCGGGGGTCCACTTTTGAGAAGCCCATGTTCAGGGCAGAGAGGCGGGGATCCACTTTTGAGAAGCCCATATTCAGGGCGGAGAGGCGGGGGTCCACTTTTGAGAAGCCCATAGTGCATGGAGGAGAGAGGCAGGGATCAGTTGGAGAGAAGCCGGTATTCAGGGCAGAGAGGCGCGGGTCCACTTTTGAGAAGCCCATGTTCAGGACAGAGAGGAGAGGGTCAACTTTTGATAAGCCGATATTCAGGACAGAGAGGCGGGGGTCCACTTTTGATAAGCCGGTATTAAGGGCAGACAGACGGAAATCCAGTGCAGAGAAGTCAAAGATGCATCGAGAAAAACTAAGGCTCAACAGAGAAAATTTGAGAACTGGTGATAAAATGGAGGAGCATTCTAGTGAGGAGAATTTGGAGGAAAGTTCAAGAATGGAAAGTGTAAGTGAAGAGAACATTGAAAAACTAGAAGAAGCTGCTAGTGATGAAAGAGTGGTTGAAGTTACCAATGAGGAGATGGAAATTCCTTCTGAAAGTGTGGACGAGAAAGATGAAAAGCTAGAAGAGATTGAGGAAAAACCTGAAGCTGATGAGGATGCCTTGCCTGAAGTGGAAGAAGATGGTGATGAATCTGCTTCTGTGGGGGAGAAAGACATGCTAGAAGAAATAGATGAAATAGATGAAGAGCCCAGTGAATGAGGCAGTTGAAGGACTGAAGCTGAGAGAGTATGAAAAGTAAAAGAGGAAAAGTTAGTCAAGCACCACGTTATTGATGCCAAAGGGGTAAAAATGAGAGAGGAAAGCAGAATCCGAGCCAAGAAGAAGAGTGAGAATTGAGAGTTACTGGACATTAAGCAGGACCATTACCGAGGGAAGCCAAGATAAGCAATGGAGAAATGGGAGCATTTTGAGAAGAAAGAGAAGAGTGGGTAATGAGTTGATGGGTAAAGGAAAATTGGATATTGGGTTCTTGAAAAGCTGTTTGAGAAGTAAACTGGATGGGCTAGAAGAATTTCATCTGAACGTGACCGCGTGTACGAGACAGAGAAGGATGCCTCGTGAGGAAAACCAGGAGGAGAGCAAGGGAAAGGACAGATACTGTGCCGTGAAGGAGCAGCAGGCGGAAGTGAGCAAAACGTCTGAAAGCGCATCCTGAAAAATGACGGGCTTCAAAGTGAGGAGAGGAAATAAGCACATTAAGAGGTAGGGGGGGAAAAAGTAAGTCACATTCCATAAAGAGGATTATGTTTGCTGGGGTTTTTTGTTTGTTTGTTTTTGGCTTTTGGTTTGTATGCTTTGTTTTGTTCTTGTAGTACTGGGGATTGAATCTAGGCCCTGAGTTATGTTGCCAGCCCTTTTAAAAATTTTTGTAAAATTTTGAGACCTTGCTAATTCACTGTGTTGCCGAGGCTGGGCTTGAATTTGTGAGCCTCTTGCTTCAGCCTCCCAGAGTGTTGGGATGACAGGCCTTGGCCACCACACCTGGCTAGTTAGTTGATTTTTAAAGTGTCCCCCCTGCAACTATTTCTGTATACTTTTCTCCCATGCAGCTTCCTGCAGGGTTTCATTTGTCTGGGTCATGCTCATCATCACTGATCTCTCAACAGGGTAGCTGTGTCCAGAACAATCGGTGGGCTCTGCATTGCCCATGCTTGATTCAAGTGGTCTTGATTATTTGTACCTGCATTATTTCCCTCTTTGACCTTTTAATTATTCACCTAATAATCCCATGGGCTTTTCCACAGCCTCTCTGTCTCTGTAGAGGTCTTCTTAAATGTCTTTACATGTTATCTACTATTTACCCTCATTCCAAGAGAGAAGACCTCTGAGTATCTACTGTCAAGACTTGAGTATTACATGGGGTGTAGCTCAGTGGTAAAGTACAGGATTAATATTCTTGAGGCCTGGGTTCAATCCCCTATACCACTCCAGCCCCACCAAGAAAAGACTTCAGTGTCCAGGTTAGGCTAATTATATCCATCTCTTGGGCGGAGATATCAGAGATGGCTGTAAGCAGTCAGTAGAACTAAAGGAATACTGTACCACCTTTTCTCCTTGATGTGTGTTTTTGGTGTTTTTCTTTTTTTGAGACAGGATCTCACTGTGTAGCTCAAACTGGCCTGGAACTCTTTGGTGTTTTGTTGTTGTTGTGTGTCTTTTTGAGACAGGGTCTCACTATGCAGTTCAGGTTGACCTTGAACTCACTTTGCAGCCCAGGCTGGTCTCAAACTTTCAGCAATCCTCCTGTCTCCGCCTCCTGAGTGCTGGGATTACAGGTGTACGCCACCATGCCTGGCTGGCCTGGAACTCTTGATCCTCCTGTCTCAGCTGGGATTGCTGGGATTACAAATGTGTACCACTACACTCGGGCTTTCTTCTTA